TCTCAGGCCCCACTGCTTTTTGGAGCCCTGTGAACTTGTCGGCCACCATGTGCCGGACTCGCCAGGTCTTGTCCTCAGCAGCCTGGCGCACGGTGGGCAGCACCAGCGCCTCCAGGTCCTCCTGGGGCAGGAGCTGGGCGATCTTCACACAGGCCTCCACCGCCAGCAGCCGCACAGAGTCCTGCCCGTCAGAAGCCAGGTTGGAGAACATGGGAATGATCTCGCTCTTGACGTTGTCCAGCTCCAACACCTTGGCAAACTCTCCCAGCTTGGAGGCTGCGGCCCGCCGCACCATGGGGGTGTCGTCTGAGCACAGGTTCCCGAAGTACTGTCGGAGCTCTGCCTTGACCGCACTGGACACTCGGGGGTAGCAGAAAGAAAAGAGACCGCAGGCCGAGGTGCGGGAGGTGAACCAGTCACCGCCTGTCAGCCGCTTCACCAGTGGCACGAAGCGGGCTTCCAGGTCTGCAGGCGAGTGCTCGTGCGAGATGGCCCGCAGGGACTCCACCGCCTTGTCCAGTACCACCGTCTCCTCCACCGTGGCCAGCGACTCCAGGGGCGGCAGCAGGCAGTGCACGAACTCTGGGCCTCCCACCAGCGTGGTGAAGGTTCCCAGCTGCTACGCCAGGGCCAAGAGGACCTCATCCTCATCGTAGATGGTGTCTGTCAGGAAGGGCAGGAGCTCACTGCGGGTCCTCTCGACGCTGAGGACCAAGGCTATGGTGGACAGCTTCTTGATGCTGTTGAGGCGAAGCTGAACATCCTCGTTGTGGGGCTCATCTATGAGCACCGCAATAGGGTAGAGCGAGTCGTCGCCGTCTTGGCCCTGTCCCGTACCTCCACAATTCTTAAATATTACTGATCCTCGGTTGCTGTCTAGAGTGTTGCAATTTTATGAAAAACAAATTACAGGAGAGCAAGAATTGTGTCTAGTTTTTCTTTTGCCCCTCTGTTAAAGTCCTTGGCTTAACACAATGTATTGGTAAAATAAATAAAAGGCTGCATGAACTTGCTAAAGAGCCATCTCTCTTCTGCTTCAGTTGGGTGCAAATTCCAGCAGCCTCCTAGGCCTAACAATCTCTCTCTCTCTCTCTCTCTCTCTCTCTCTTTCTCTCTCTCCAGATCAGAACAATTACCACTTATTTATTGGTCACCTTTGGGGCATGAAATGTTTCTAATATATGATGTTTACACCAAATGTACCTATATGATGTTTACATCTAAAATATAATGGACTGCTTAACGGACAAACAGACCTGTATTGGAAGACGTATGGCCACAGTGCTCCTTGGAGGTGAGGATGGAAAGATCTTGTCTCACATACTTTAGACATATTATCAGGAATGGCCAGTCCCTGGAGAAGGACATCATGTTTCATAAAGTGGACAGGTGTTGGAAAAGAGGAAGACCCCAACAAAATGGATTGACACAGCAGCTACATCAATGGGCTCAGGTGTAGGAACAATTGTGAGGATGGTGCATGACTGTTCAGTATTTTGTTCTGTTGTGCATAGGGTCACTGCAGTTCAGAGCTGACTCAATGGTACCTAACAACAACAACATCAAATGAGAAACATGTCTTTAAGTTTTAAAACGGTGAAACAGCAGCCCTTTGGACAGATGCCCACCTGGACACTCACACTGGCCTGATTGAGGAAAGTTCTACAAAATGGAACAGTCCTAGGTTTTATCAGATCATGGTCCGCTCCAGCGCAGGCTGGAAGGGAGGGTGGTGGGATGTAGTAAGGTGCAGGGCAATGCTGCCAACCCATCCCCTTTAGGAGCTAACTGCTACACTTCTTAACATTTGCCTTCTTACTCTGGTATGTGTTTGCATTACTTACTTGCTCTTGGGAATTACAGATTTCACTCTGTTGGCCAGTGCTTTTTATAGAAATTGCAGGAGAAGGAGACCGCCCTGTAGGTTTCTTTCTGCCTCTCTGGCCTAGTGCTATTTTGGTCAGCCCATGATGGGCTGCTTAAATAACACTGTAAAATTCTCACTTATCTAGCACTGTAGAAAATAGATGTGTTCCAAATAAGTGGATTTTCCACATAACTGAAATTTATTCAGCTAAATTATAAAATTTTTTAAAGTACCATTTTATTATGTAAATTCTTCTATATGCTAAGATAGGAACTCTGATGGTGTAGTGGTTACGCATTGAGCTGTGATCCATCTAGTCTGCAGTTTGAAACCACCA